CTAACAATTCAGAACGATTTTTCATAAGATAAACCCAAGTACATCTTGAATATTCATCAATAAAGGTAACAAAATATCTAAAACCAAAGGAGGAGATACGACTAGGTCCCCATATATCAGAATGGATGATGGAAAAACTAGAATTACATATTGATTGAGACCTTTTAGGAAAGGAAGATCTAACATGTTTTCCTAATTGACATGACTCACATTCTAAGGTTTGGAGACCACTAAGTTCAGGACACATCTTTTTTAATTTGGACAAATGAGGATGGCCAAGTCGATCATGTAGCACTTTAGGATTAGGAGCAGCAACACAAGACACCCTTGGACGAGATCCAAAATGGTATAATCCGCCAGCTTCATATCCTTCTCCAATCTGTCTCCCCGAACCACGCTCCTGTATAACAAAAGATTTATGATCAAAGGTTATTGAACAATTTAACATTTTAGTCAACTGGCTTAAGGAAATTAAATTAAAAGGACAATTAGGGACAAAAAGGACTGAGTTGAGATTGAGGGAGGGAGACAAAGAAACATGACCGACTCCTTTGGAAGAAGTTTTAGATTCATTTGCAAGAGTTATGAAATGAGGTTTTTCTCGAAAGGAAATAGATGAGAACAAAGAGGTATTACCAGAAATGTGATCAGAAGCACCTGAGTCAATTACCTATGAATTTTGACATTCCATAGATTGAGAAACGCAGGCTGTTGATGTATTGGGAGATTGAGATGGTTGTGCCAAGCTGTTAGACTTTAACCTTAAATACTCTTGATATTCATCCTCAGAAAACATAGAGGTGGAGGTTTCAGTTTTCGAAGTGGAAGTTTCAGTCTTCGAAATATTGGAGGTTTTGGAAGGGAAACCATGTAAGGAGTAGCAATTCTCTTGAGTATGACCCATCCTTTTACAGTTTGTGCATTGAGGGCGTCCCCGACCTCCTCGTCCTCCTCCTCTAGTGCCACGTCCTCCTCCTCTAGTGCCACGTCCTCCTCTTCCTCATGTGGCAACCATGACAGATGGTTCCACTTTTATAAATTGTGATAGTCTTTCATTGGTGCCTTCATTAACACCATGGCTGAGAACATGAGATTAAAAGCATTGCAGAATGTATTGTGCGGTCACAGTGAAGAACTCCATAAATTGATGGATCTCTTCAAACCTTGTGATCATGAACAATAAAACCATGCCCAAGTTCAAGCTAAAGCTCAAGCTTGTATTGACCTATTCTAGAGATCCTTAGACATCCTTCTTAAATCTCGAACTCAGTCTCATTTCCATGATGGCCTTCGACAAATTATTATGTAAAAGATATTGGGATTTCCTCATTTTGATGGACAATCTTCGGCACTAGAGTGGATTTTCAAGGTAGAGAAGTTTTTGATTCACAACATACACCCAATGATGAGAGAGTGGACATTGTAGCTATTCATTTTGAGAAGGACATTGTTGCTATTCATTTTGAGAAGGACATTGTGCCTTGGTTTTAGATGCTCTAATGACTCCTTGTAGTTTGTTCGTGGACGAAGTTAATGTGAGCTTTGGAATCTCAGTTTGGACCCTCTTACAATAATTGCCTGATGACTAAGTTGTTTAAACTACTACAAACTGGTGAGATCTCTGAGTATTATCTTAAATTCATGTCATTAGCTAAATAGATCAAATAGGTTGACGGATGAGGCCTCGTAAAATTGCTTTTTGAGTGGCCTTCAATATTGAGAGCAATGGCTTTAAGAAAATTATACAAGGATAGACATACGCCTGCTGTTAAACCTATTCGATGTTATTCCCCAGTATCATCTCTGTCTTATACTCCTTCCCGGAATCAGTCCAATCAAGTTGTTAAATCAACGTTACTACCCTTGTTACCTACTCGTATTGAACAACCGTTAAGAAATGCTAATGTGAAAAAAGTTAGTCCTCCTGCTAAGATGCAAATGCATAGAGAGAAAGGATTGTTACTTTTGGGATGTGAAATTTGCTTTTTATCTGAAGTGTCCCAATCAACAGTAAATGTTTTTGAAATTAGAGGATTATAATAATGATACATCACCTGATTTCTCGACCAATTTGTTCATGATTATGGATCTGTGTTGGATGACCATCATTGGTCGGTCAATGATCTGGAACTGAAGGGTGGCACCGCTGTGGGTACTGTGGCTTACATTGATAAGCTACTACTTGTTACTGTCTTAATTGGAGGTAGCTCTAATATTTTTTTGCAACCTCATGTGGCAAAATTTTTTAAGCTTCTGATAGAGCCAACTCCCATGTTTAAAGTGATGGTGGGTAATGGAAACTACCTGACTGGAGAGGGCTTAGTTTAGAAATTGGTGATCCAAGCACGGGAATATTTTTCAATTGTCTTTCTATTTACTTCAAATTTCAGGAGGAAAACTTATCTTGGGAGCTAATTGGTTAAAGACTATTGAACTTTACGTGGCAAACTGTGAGGCTTTCACTTAAAATTCTTACATAATTACAAATTTGTTACATTAAAAAGTGAGGTGAAACACCCTCCTTTGTCGGCTCATGGTTGCCACTATTGCAATTGTTGAAGTGTATAGTATGAAGTTGATTGATCACAAACAGTCTGTTCCATATCTTAGTTACCTGCAAGAGTCCTTTTTCATCTCCTATTATTCTTGTTAAAAGGAATAACAGTTCTTGGAGGAGAGTGTGTTTGGGTAAGGCTTCTCTTTGTAAATTGCGTTATTGTTCTTAGAATAAGGCTTCTTTAACATCCCGTGCATTATTGAAACTGTTAGGACTTCAAATGTTTGAATAATAACTGATGCTTATTTTTTCAAATCCTTTATTTGCTATTATTGGAAGCATTATTTTTCTCTGTCATCTGTCCATGCAGATTGGAAGTCACAGGGATCTTCTCTTAAGAGATGGTTTATATGCACGGTTAACTAGGAAACAGGCTGATGCCATGGCATGATTTGGGTTTCAAAAGCAGATATTCTATTTTTCATCAGCCTTCATTTTAGAGGCAGTACAGTGAGGCAGCAACTATTTTTTTCCTTGTTGCTGATCAATGTATTTATAGTACCATACAAGAAAATTGGAAAAGTTCAGCAAAGAGGGAAGCTGCACAGAAGTTTTGATTTAAAATGCATAGCGGCTTCAGAAAGATTTCACTCTATCAGGTTCCAAGGCAGATTCAAAAGCAAACGTAACTAAGTTACTGGCCGTATTCATAGTCAAGATGCTGAGAAGCGTCAGATGATACTGCCAATAACCATATAGATTGTTCATTTTATACATGTAGTTTAAATTTTAACTCTTGATGATGTTTTATTTAAAATACCACCTGCCCCTGTTTCATGACACTTTGTACTCATAATATTGAAATCTATAAAATTTGAGCTTTCAAAAAATGGAGAACTTTTCATGTTAAGAGATTATTGGCAACAAATTTTAGCTTTATACAATCACCTATACATCGTCAATAAATATATAAAATGCCTTAATGCATATTGATAAGTATGAATATTCTTTTCTCATTTGTGTTGGTTTATATAGTGCATACATGCAATATTCCTGTCTTCTGTATAAACAGGGTTACGTCTTCAATATATTTTGATTTATTTGAAGAACCATAGCTTAATATTCTGACTAGATTTGTGTTATTTATGTTTTCATCAATATTTCCTACTTCCTAGTGACACTTCCAAAAGTATACTTTCTTTTCCTTTTTACTTCACACGTGGATAATGAATATTTTTGGAGGATCAAAAACCTTTCAGATGCTTGAACTGTGGCTTATTCAATGTTTTTTCTTATGTCGAAACCATGTCTCCTGTGGAGAAAGCAACAAAAATTACTACACACACACGACGAGTTCAACAGCTTGGTGATTTCTTATATGTGGTACAACCTTAAACAAACTCGGCATCGTCTTTCCCACAGATTATTTTATTTATTTTCAAATGTTGCTTCCTCAGACTATTATGTCATGAGAAAATGTCGAGGTAGCCAGGTTTTCAGCAGGAAGTTCCTAATACAAGAATGTGCCTAGTGCAGCATCAAGTCACGGAGTTAATTTCGAACATGCAAAGCCTCGTTTTCATCACTCTCATGTGAAAATATCAAGTAATAATACACAGCCGGCCATAAGAAACAAAAATCGCCAATAGTATTTCACTTATTCTCATTCATCCAAGCCATAATATAGTTCCACCTACTGTGCGAGGATGAAACATTTTGACTGCATAACTTTCAGTTGGACCACGCTATGCTGAAGCGTGTTGTGCACTCATTAGGCCTAGTGGAGAACACTGATAAAAATCCAACAAAGAACAAAGTGAGAGGCACCAAGACATTCCTTGAGGTTGGTTTGCAAACAAAGGATCCATATGTGAGGACAGTTCATCAGGGTGGACAACAAGAGATATATCATCATGCATTTCCAGCATCTATGTTGATGACTAAATATCCCGGGATGTGTGTTGCAAGAACACAAGTCTTCACTGCTCCTGATCACTCAGTGCTAAGACCTGAAGAGCATTTACTGCCTGGCCACAAGTATGTCATAATCTCATGTAAAAAGGTGGAGAAGCTGAAGCGTAGACGTCATCAACAAGCCGAAACCAAAGAGCACAATGGGGTGGTAACATTGGAACCAAACATCATTAGGTCTCCTAGAGGACACAAACCAGAAGACAATCACAAAAATGTAGTAGCAGGCCTTGATGTGATGAACAGAAGGATAACTCTATCCCCCATTGAATGCAAAGTCCATGAGAATGATGAAGTCAAAGAGGCAAATGGGCAAGGAGGAAAGAAAGTGGATGCAGAGATGAATGTGTCTCTATGCGGAGGGGGTGTGGAGGAAGTTCATTGCTTTGCAAAGGATTTTTATGTTGCAAAGGCTAAGTCAGCAAACTATTCAAGAAAAAAAGGAATAATAATGAAGAAACCATTTTCTCCACCTCTTCCTAAGAGAAGATCACACTCGAATTTGGGATGGCAACCCAGCCTTTCCACAGTGCAAGAGCTCTCTCCATGATATTTTTTATGGCTACCCTTTTACAACTTCTATTACTCTTGTGGTCAGGTATTATGCAGGCTTACCATTTTTTAATGTTGCTAATTTATACATTGTATATTTGGTGGACTATAGGCATAGGTTTATGCTGGAGGATATTATTTTAGATCCTCAGAATAAATCAAACAAATAAATAACATGTATATTGATGCCATCTACATTGTGTATTTTTTTTTTCTGTTGTTTGTGGTTTACCTTTGAGAAAATATTATGTGACTACTGACATCTCAATAATAATAATAATGGTTAACTCTTGTGTTGACCTCATGTGGGATTGTTATGGCTGCCCAACCTATTGTGTAATAGTCTCCATTCCATGATTTTGATGCTGACTTTTGTAGCAAGTTATTTCATGCATGTATTTTACATTAAGAATGGAAAATGATATTTGAACATCAAAATACTGTGCTTAATATCAAAGACCAAAAGTAGTTTCCAGTTGCCATCATATGTTATATTCAGACACATCTTATGTCTTCGGGTATAGTATGGTTACGCTCTGTTCATCTTCTTCATTACTCATAATAAGAACATAATTTCGCATGAAATATCATTTTCCACAAAATATTTTATCATTTTTTACTGTTCTTTTTCTCAATTACCAAGCAATGCTTTACTGTGTGGATTGAAACAAGATATAAGAAAAATGAGGGAACATGAAGTTATTCATAAGTACGTACACTTTGGATTTTTCTCAATATCCTTTTGCTGAATCTTTAATCTTCATATGAAAAACTTCATAGGAATGACATAATGGATCTTGTCAAGCAAACGGAAACAAAATTGCTATTTTATGTGACTTCGAATCCAATCATGAAATATAAAAATAGAAAAATTATATTTTAATACATAATTTTTTGGGTTAAATATGTTTTTAGTCCCTTAAGTATCAGACGATTTTGTTTTTAGTCCCTACTCAGAACTTTGATGGTTTTTAGTCCTTATTGTTTTGAAACACTGACTATTAGTCCTTAGAATTGGACGGTGTTAAGTTTTAGTGGATGTGGCAATGCCACGTGATCACTGATCTGCTCTCTTCACTCTCTGCCACGTGATCACTGCTTCAGTCTCTGCTCTCTTCCATTCCCTCACTCTCCAACCCCACCCAAACGCTTTTTCTTCAGAACGACGCGCCCACTCTGGTATGAAAACTTCCTAGCCTCTTCAAGTATCTGAAAGGAACGAAAAGACGATATATTTCATATAGATGGGCAGAGCAGTGGAGGGAATCAAAAAGAGAGGAAGCATGTGAGATGAAGAGTGTATATAATAAGAAAGTACTGACTTGCACAGATAACTCCCTAGTCGGCGAGAGAACAAGGGCAAGTGGATAGACTGTACGGGCACCGCGAGGGGGCCGCAGGGGGGCCTGCCCTTGACCTCTCATAATGCCACTGATAATAGGGAAACAGAATGCTGCAGTCTTTCCGGAACCAGTCTGAGCACAAGCCATCAAATCCCGTCCGCCAAGGGATATGGGTATGGCATGCCGCTGGACCGGCGTTGGTTTAACATATTTGCAGCGTCTAATGTTTTGATTAAGAGCATCGCCCAATTCAATCTCCGCAAAAGTATTCACAGGTGGGGGCACGTTTTCACCGCTCGTCTCAACGGGAATGTCCTCGTAAGCATCAAAATTAATTCCCATGTTTCCCTGCTCCTCGCCAGAAGCTGCTGCTTCCTCTTCAGCTGCATCCTTCTGATCTTCGAAGGGGTTCACTTCCCGCCGATCCCAACCACCGGTTCTGTTCCCCCAACCGTTCTGGGCGCACCCCACCGTGATCCGACATTATTATTAGAACTCACATTGGGCGGAGCAGGGGGGATTCCGTTGATGCTGATGCTGATGTTGCACGGTTTCTCAGATGCGGAGGCACATAAACAGGCCGCGTCTGAGCTGTGGAGTTGGATGTTCCCGCATTTTCAGAGGCGGAATTTGCAGCCAAATCAGCCCACGATGTTGGCATGCTTGCCCTGTGTAGTGTGCTTCCTTCCAAAGGATCACGATTCACGCCCTCAGCCAGCAATTGAAACAATCACATTACATAACAATGGTGCAGAGAGAGGAGGTGAATGATTGAATGGATGAATGAGTGAGATATAAGAGCATAAAGAAGAGAAACAACCTGCCTACCTACCTACCTGTCTGTATTGGGAAGACTAAAACCCTCAAGTGTAGACGATCGTTGACGAAGATGAAGAAACCCTAAACGTTCTGAAGAAAAAGCGTTTGGGTGGGGTTGGAGAGTGAGGGAATGGAAGAGAGCAGAGACTGAAGAGAGCAGATCAATGATCACGTGGCAGAGAGTGAAGAGAGCAGATCAGTGATCACGTGGCATCGTCGTTTGCCACATCCACTAAAACTTAACACCGTCCAATTTTAAGGACTAATAGTCAGTGTTTCAAAACAATAAGGACTAAAAGCCATCAAAGTTCTGAGTAGGGACTAAAAACAAAATCGTCTGATACTTAAGGGACTAAAAACATATTTAACCCTAATTTTTTTATATTCACTTGATATTATATTTTTAATTTTTATTTTTCTTATTTAGACCTCTTATTTGCACGAATCAGTGATCATATTTGAAATTCTAACTTAAAAAATAATAATTATATGGGTGTCTTACCCCGCACCTCCAATTTTTTTTTAAAACGTCTAAATTACTCTGTAATTAAAAATCTTTTAATATTTAAAAAATGAAAAAGTGGTCAAAGATTCTTTTCATGAATGTTGTCAGTGTACACAAATATTCATCTCTCGCATCTCATTTCTTTCTCTTGCATCTCATTTTTCACTCTCGCTTTCCTCTTCCTCTCTCCATTCTCGTAGCACACACGGGCCAACCTTCCTTCTCGCGGTTCCCTCTCCCTCTTGCTTTTCTCTTCCTCTCTCCATTGTCGCAACACACACAGGCACACAACCTTCGTTCTCGTGCTTCCCTCTCCCTCTCGCATTTTTCTTCCTCTCTCCATTCTTGCATCACACACATGCACGCAACTAGCCTTCGTCGCACTTTGGCCACAGATACAGAGCACTGCAACCAACATTTTCCTGTTCGTCCATACTCTTCGCGAAGTTGGTGCGTAATATCTCATTCTTTCTTTCGATCCTTGCTTCAGTTTGCTTGTTTTGGTTTCAGGTTTTGGTTGCATGGTTGCATGCACACACACATAGGGAGCTTCATTTTCTTCCTTTTGAGGTTGAAGTTGGTTTTCTCCGTTTCGTGCAGCCACCAAGTTTTTGTTGGAATATTATTTGTTTTTAAATAAAGCCCTATTTCTAAGGGTTGAACTAGTCTAGGCCTGTTAGCTATTATTTAGGTGTACGTGACTATTTTTTAGCCATTTACTTAGATTCAGTTTTTTTCTCTGTAAAGGCTTATAAAAAGCCGTGCTCTTTCAATTGAAATATACACAGAGAATTATCCATTCACAAACAGTGTGTGCAGGTTGTGCTCTGTGTAGCTAATAAGTGGTATCAGAGCTCCATACGGGGCTTGATACGGAGTGAACAGCTGTGATAAAGTGTGAACAACTGTAGTGCAAGTGAGAAGAGTGTGGGGTCTGGAAAACAGTGTGAGTGCACATATAGAAGAAAGAGAACCCGTGAGTGAAAGCAGTGAAAAGAGTGTGGGGAGTGCACATACAGGAAAAAGGAAACGGTGTGAGTGCATAAACAGAAGAAAGAAGGAAGGATGTCCAATATGGAGAAATTTGTTCAACCTGC